ATCCCCCCGGGATCCCCCCGTCCCATTGCCGTCGCACTGCCCATCCCGCAGGCAGTTCGTGGAGGAGGCGGCCGTGGACTTCGCGCGCCGCCACCCCGACGTGGTGCTCTACGTGAGCCCGCGGCGCTGCCCGGCGCCGCTGCTCATCGCCGAGTACCGTGAGTGCCCCCGGGGACAGAGCCGGGGCGGGGGCGCCCCGCCGTGGGGCAGGGGCGGGCGCGAGGCCCCCACAGTTCCCCCCCAGTCCCCACGGCTCTGCCGTCCCCCTTCCAGGCATGGACGGGTGTGAACGTGCCCCAGTTTGCACCGAGTATCGGGGCTGGTGGCTGTGGAAGGTGTCGCGTGAGCGCGGGGCTGGTTACGGGGAACAGCCGAGTAACGTCCGGGAAGGAGACGGCGGGAAGGGCACGTGTGATGTTGAGAGGAGCCTTTCCCGTCACTGGTGTTGAGCGAGGCCAGCGGGTAACGTGGGGCCTGTTCTCAGAGAGTAACGGGCAGCTACATCTGTCTCTTATGGCAAATATTCAGCAAAATAAGTTCTAAAATAAGATCTATTAGGGCAAGMCTACGGGTTAAACAGACCGTATTGACCAGCGTGACACTGTTTCATGCTCTTCGGAGGCGGAGGCAGCGCAGGGGCTGCTTCTAGTCAGCGATTCAGACACTTCCCACACCCTCRTGTGTCTGCAGGACAGCCTTGCTGTGACCACGTCTAATTATCACCACAAGGGATGCAAGATGCATATGCATAAAGAAGTAATCTGCAGAGTTTATCATCAAATTGCAAAAACTCTGCAGACGTAGATTTGCAGTATGCAGTTTGATTCGATRGAGCTACAGTCCTGAAGTTTGAGCRTATCAAACTAAAGGTGCACAGGGCTCCGGCCTCACTGAGAGTTGCCCAAGATTTACACATTTTTACCTACAGAATTTCACTTCAGGGGGTATTTACACAGAGCGGGGATTAGTTATTTCTCTCCTGTRACACAAATGTTTTTTTCCCACCCTGCTTTGTTGCCTCCTGCCCCGCTGGGCGCCGCAGTGAACGGCGCCGTGCACGAGGAGCTCGTGAGCAGCCGCAGCTGCGAGGAGATCGCGGGCCTGGCCGCCCGCCTCGCCGCCCGCTCGGGCCTCGACATCGTGCGCATCCGCAAGCCCTTCCACACGGCCAGCCCCAGCGTGCAGGGACAGTGGCACCCCTTCACCAACAAGCGGCCCGGCCTCGCCGCCCGCCCCAATAAATAGACACGGGCAGCACGGCGCCTCCTCGCACAGACGCCTCTTTATTGCACGGGGCCGGGGGGCTCCTGCTGCTGAGGAGCCAGGGAGCAGCACGGGCAGGGGGACACGGGGGTGTCCCGAGTCATCCGGCCTCTCCCTGGCCCTGGCAGCGGGGCTGGGCGGGTTGGGCACAGTGGCTCCCCTGGGAAGGGCCCCGGGAGCCTCCCCGGGAGGAGCCAGCCCCTTTCCAAGGCTCTTGGGGACACAGGGCGACTGTSCCTGGCAGCGCAGCGCACCCGGGCTGGGCTAAGGCGGTGCTCGCTGCCTCCAARTCCTCCCAGCCTGGGCAGGAGCGGGATGGTGCTGGGGACACCGTGGGCTCCGGCCCCTCTCCGCACGGCCACCCTGCAGCTGGAGGTGCTCCCCACCGCTGTCACCGCTCGGGTGACGGTGACAGTCCCGGCCGGTGTCCCTGCGGCAGTGGCTGTGACAGTCCCAGTGGCTGACAGWTATAGKCCCGGCTGTTGTCACTGCTGCGGTGACTGTGACAGTCCCAGTGGCTGACAGATACACTCCTGGCCGGTGTCACCGCTCGGGTGACGGTGACAGTSCTGGTCGCTGACGGTGGCAGTTGTGGTCGCTCCCCTGCGGCCGGCACCATCCTGCAGGGATGGGCAGAGGTGKCACAGGAGGCGCCCGGCGGCGCTCGCGCTGCGCAGTGGGGCCTGCCCCCCATCTCACCTGCGCCCACGGCGCCCTCCTCGTCGCGGCGCTGCCGCCTCCCCGCGCACGGGGACACGGACACCTCCTCCGGACCCGGCTGATCCGTCCTCTCCGGGCRAGGAAACCCTGGAGGGGGAGACGGGAGTCAGCGGGCGCACAGCTCCCTCCCTCCCGCCGGCCACCGGTGCTGGTGGCTCCGGCCTGTCCCCTGTCCCCGCCACTCACCCGCCTCTCGGCATCCACRCGGCTCCGGCGCTCCCGGGACGCCCGCAGGGACGGGTCTGCGCTGGCGGGACGGGACAGGACAGGACGGGGTCTCTCACCTGGACACGCACACGGACAGAAACCCTCCCGCCCTCCCGCCGTCAGCCGGGCTCTGGCTCCTGCCTCCAGCTCCTGGGCGCCATCCGTGGGGTTTTATACATAAATAGAGCTCCCAAATTTAAATAAGATTCTTCTTCGTCTTTGTTTTTTTTTTTTTTTGCTTTTCGATTCTTTTGTACAGCGAGTCTCCAAAGTGAGTTGAAAAGCCAAAGGAGGCCGCCGAGTCCGGCCCAGCGCCTCTCTTCGGGAGGTAGTTGTGCCTGAGTCTGTAACACTGCTGGCAAAGGGGGGCACGGGGGTATCCCGAGTCATCCGGCCTCTCCCCGGCACTGGGAGCAGGGCGAGGGGCTGGGGGGCGCCCGGGCCGCCCCCGCGCCCCTACACGGAGCTCTCGTCCAGCTTGTCCACGAGCTGCGTGTGCTTGCTGCGCTTCTCCAGCATCCTGCTGAGCTCCTCGGCGAAGGAGGCGCTGCCGAGCGGCGAGGCGAGCGGCTCCTCGTGCTGCTGCAGCAACATGTAGCTGTTGCCGTTCATCTTGCGCAGCACGTTGGGCAGGGCGCCCACGCCGTTGGTCAGCTCCGAGGGCAGCGGCGGCGCCGGCGGCGGCACCGCGGCCGGCGGCTCCTTGCCCGGCGAGCCCGCGGCCGTGGGCGCCTCGCCGGGGATGATCTGCAGGCAGCCGTCGCCGTAGGCCAGCGCGGCCTCGTCCCCGTCCTCGCCGCGGCCCTTGCGCAGGCAGTTGGCCGAGACCGTCTGCAGCTCCACGCCGGCGGCGCGCGGCTCGCCCAGCACGTACTTGCCCCTGCGCCGCTGCCCGCGGGACACGTGGAGCAGCACGGCGCTCAGCGCCACGCACAGCCCCACGAGCGCCGCGATGGCCGACACGTAGGCCACGCTGGCGTCGCCGGCGGCCCGCGCG